CTCTCTCTCTCTCTCTCTCTCTCTCTCTCTCTCTCTCTCTCTGTGCATGTTCAGGTTGGGATGGAGGACTGTGAATAAAATCACAGAGCAGGGCATGGGGTTTTAGTCCTGATCGTCTTTAAGGTAAGCTCATTTTGAGGTTTGAGGTTATCAGAATTCATCTCACATCTGGAGAGTTCAGTCTTCTCCTATAGTACGCTGTAGTTGTGGTATAGGCCAGGAGGGGAACACAAAGAAGGGAGAGACTTGGGGGAAAAGTCAGTTCTTTCGTTGCCTAATATTGATAGCCTGATGGCTAGGGAGTATGTGCTGTATCTGAATCCCCTTTACTGCCTTGTTTGTGGAGATTAAAGCAACTCAAATTTTTAACTTGTGGCAATGTTGCCTCTGCCATTGTTAATCCCTGAAAGAAATAAGTGGAAGTTCTCGTTCTATTTTATAAACATTTTGTCAATGTTGTATTGGTTACTTTTCTGTTGCTGTGATAAACACCATGACCAAAGGCAACAGTAGAAGAGTTTATTTTGGCTTAAATTTCCAGAGGGAGAGTCCATATTGAGTAGGGAGGTATGGCAGCAGGTCATGAGCAGGAAGCTAAGAGATCACATCTTCAACCACAAACACACAGCAGAGAGAGCAAACTAGAAGTGAGATGAGTTTATGAATTCTCAGAGCTCATCCCCAGTGACATACTTCCTCCAGGAAGGCCAGCCTTCCTAAACCTCCCCGAACAACATCACTGACTGGTGACCAAGCATTCAAATACCCAAGTCTATGGGGGTCATTTCTCATTTAAACCACTATAAATGCCTCTGCATGTCTCTTTCTCTCATAGTAGCTTCCTGTACTATCATTTATTACAGCAGTGACATTTTGCTAAATCAATTTATAAATCATCACAGTACTCAGGACTTTGGTTATGGTCTATTTTAATTTGTAAAGTCACAACGAACTCATTTATATGTTTTAGACTTTCCATTTCTTCAATGAGAGAGTTTTCAATGTATGTTCTTTTATTTCTGAAGGGGCAAAGGATATGAAAACCCTACCAGGTCAAGCTGTATGTCCTACTCCTGGGTGCCGAGGAAAAGGCCATATCCGTGGCCCACGCTATGCAGGACACCACAGGTAAAGATTTTTCTTGCTACAATTATTTCAGGGATGAACGAGGACATTATGCTGACTAGCAGGATTCATGGCACCTACTGCCTTCTCACTATCCTTTTGCCCAGCTGAGGCTCCTTCTTGATGAATCCTATAATCCGCCTACCTCTGCCCTTCCAGAGTCTTGGAGTTCTGAGGCATTTTCTAAGCCTGTTTCAAGTCTCTGAGTCTCTGCTGTGTAAGATTTTCCTCAAGTATACACTGTCTGGTATACTCATCCGCCCCATCTCACCCCTGTTCCAAATCATCTCCATTATATTGCTGTCTTTTGTCCATGGAATCCCAGAAACTGTCCTTTTCCATCCTGTTTTCTGTTTACCTCATTTTCTTTTTCTCTCTTTTTTATTCGTTTGGAGAAGAGATCATTCTGTTAAGGAATATAAAATAAATGTAAGTTATTTTCCTTGTTTTACATGTTTAAAAAATACTGAGTGGATGGTACTTATAAAAATAAATGTATGTTTTTAGTGCTCTTTCTGTCCCCAGTAATTTTAAATGATATGCAAATGAGTTATTAGTATTAATGATCTAGTATCAGAACATAAATTAAAACTGAAAACAACCAATACCAAATTTGTCTACCTACAAATATCAAAGACAAATATAAAGAAAAAGGCATCAGTCATGTAAAATGTGAAGCAAGAAAACCTTTGCTTACGTGAATATAAATGCGGTATAGGAAGCCCTTGCTTTATCAGGGGACTGCAGCCTTAGAAATCAGTGCTCAAAATGTTTCTGAATGAATTGAAGCAAGGATAACTTGTAAGATATAGTTTGCATAGATGCAAATATCTGTGTAGATATCCGAACACTTAAGAAGGTATATTAGAGTGCCCATTAAAAAGAAAGAAATTAAAGATGTCAGGACATCTTGATTACTTGTGGAAATTCATGGGGCTTAGGAATTAGGACTAGAGTTTGAGCTGTGGAAATGTCTTAGTTTTTGATGAGGGAAAGAAAAAAACAGTGAAGGACAAAGAGAGGAAGCCAAAAAGAGAAGCAGAGAGACCTTTAGAATCAGTGTGGCCTGAATTCAGTCAGGGCTCTGTTGGTGTTAGAGCCACTTTGCAGACATTATCAGGAGTGTGTAGCTATAGACAATCCCCTTTGGGCTGTGTGTGTGTGTGTGTGTGTGTGTGTGTGTGTGTGTGTGTGTAATCTCACCTACAAAGTCCAATATGATGCTCATTGATCACATGAGTCTGTTTGAGTTTAAATCATTAAAATTAAATAGAATGAAAACATAATCCCCAGTCACACAGCTATGTTTCAATTGCTCACTGGCCACATGTGGCTAGTGGCTGTTGTCCCAGACAACACCTATGTGAAGAAGTTCCACCATCACAGAGTTCCATTTGACCTCCCCAAGGGAATCACATACAGTATTCTGCCTTCTCCGTAGAGATTTTTTTGAGTGATAGTTTTTCTTGATGTAATGCTGGTACCAGCCGGCCAAGACGGACAGTACCTGAAAGGGGGAGTGAGGATTGAAAGAAAAAACAAGAGACAGAGAAAAGATACTTGGGAAGACTGTCAGTAGAGACTGCAGCCCCAGTTTATTTCAGCTCTGCCCTTTTATACAGAAGAACTCAATTAGTCTCAACAGCTGTCTTTCCCACCTGTATCTAAGGGTCAAGGAGCAGTCAAATACTTGTTGTGAACTCTACCATATAAACACATTCCTCCTGACCTGGCAGATTAGGTCAAAACACAAACTCTAAGTAAACAAGCAAGCCTGCCACAGCTCAATGTATACAATGGATTAATAGCTCCCAACAATGTAACAACTGGTCATCTTGGAGCTTCCTTTGCAACTTAGGTCGTTGTCTTCAAAATTAACCAAGCCATAACCTGCAGCCAATCCTTCCCACAAAGCTCTCTGAACATGCTCCTCCTGGGTGCTGGGCTCAGAAAACAGATATATAGGAACAGTTCAGCACCTGCAGCTTCCCCAGTCTTCCCTGGCTTACCTTTCCTGACTGGATTCTGAAGAGGTGATAGCCAGAGTCCCAGTGGGCATGCTCTTCCTGGTCCAGGAGCTTCCCTGAACTCTTGCTTATCTAATATGATATAAACAGAGCGTAGTTGATGTTCTTACTTGTGTTAAATAATCATTAATAGGAGGAGGTTTGACTTGTTTTATTCATCAAAATAGTTTTTCAAAGTTGGATTGGACAAACTAGAATATAAAAATAAAGGCGATTCTAAAGAAAAGCATTCTATGAAGCACAGAAGAAAAATATATTGAAGATGAGCGACAGTAAGGAAAAGGGGGCCATTGTTAGTGAGTCTGGAGTCATGAGACATTGTTCTGTCTCCCAACAACTCTGGGCTGTTTGTTTGGGTCATGGCTCTTATTCAGCTATAGACCTGGTTATAACAGAGCAGGGCTCAAATAAGTAAAAACAAGGTGTTCAAAAACTTCAGGATTCCAGGACTTCAGAAATGAAAAATGATAAGATATGAGCATCTTTAATTATCTTCTCTTTAATTTAGAAAAAGAGAAAAATTTAAGAACTGAATTTTTAAAATGTATGTGTTTATAATGGATTTATAAGACATTTAAGGAAAACCATAAGGTAAATAAAATGAAAGCTTATTTATGAACAGAAAGTCAATAGTTTTAATTCTGTTTATCAGTATTTTATACTAGATGAGTAAGGGCATACTGCCTTACTCAGTTGAATTAGTGTTGATATAGCAGTCTTTAGAAAATGGAGGGGGGATCACAGGTAATGTAGGCCCTCTCTAGCACAGATTGAACATCACTACTTTGGCTTTAATCATTTAATTAATTTATTGTGTGTGTGTAAGTTGAGAATTGATTTAAATCATCTTGTATTTAACTGAATAAGTGATTTTAATACTGTCTCACATCTTTGGGGTTTGTTTTCATGTTCTTTCTTTTATTGAGGCCTAAACGTTGCATAGCTCTAAAAGTTTACTAAATACTCACCTTCATTTCCTGTTATTGGTAGTGTCTGTTCACATACATAGATGTATATCCACATGTACCTGTGCTTACACACACGTTCATAAGCCTGCTAGAAACTTGTCATCTCACATCCAAAGTGATCATTAAAAACTTTGTTCTTATATATCAAAAAAGTGATAAAGATGAGAATTTTAAAATATCCCGGCTTTCCCAAATCCAGATACACGCTTTTGTAGCTGGAGTTTTTCCTGACAAATTGTAAAGAGAAAACTTACATATTCCAAAACAAAAGAGTACTTTTTCCTCTTGGTATAGATTTCTAACTTTACCAGAAAGACGTCTTCTGCAAGATGCTTCTTGCAGTCTCTAGATTGTTAAGCAAATAGTCTTATATTTTAAAAGAAAAGAACACAATCCCCTCCAGTTGCATTAAGGCTTATATAAAATGACTGGTTCCTGCTTCAAAGCCTGGGGAAGCATGAAGACTCCGAAGTCTGCTACAAGGGAAGGGGCGGTCAGCTCCATTTCTGTGAAACACTCCCAATCTGCCAAGTGCTCGCAAGCAGTGAGCTTTGTTTTTACTTTTCATGTCAGAATTTCTAGTTTTGATATTGAAGGGCTGGTGTTTTGAAAGATAGTAAACAATCTCCTTAAAACAAGTTGTCAGTGTCTCTGTTCTGCTGACAAGAATAGTGACATTAAAATGCCACTGAAGACATTTGAAAATAATTCACCACTCTGATAGAACAGGTGTACCCTGCATGTCCTTTTAAAAAAGATTTAATCAGGATTATTTTCCTTTTCGTTAAAACAGTCAAGGGGTTAACAACAATATTCAAGGCTGTTTGGAGTTCGTATAGAATCTGAACAGGCCCTTACTTGGAAGAAATTGCATCAGTTCTTACCTATATGAAAATAGAAGTTTTAACACATTATTTTCATACAATTTACTTTCTATTTGAATGAATTTACATAACAAACAGATTGACCTAGGTGTATTTGTAAACATAGAAATATTTAAAGTTGGCCACATTCGGGTTACAAGGTACAAACTCACTTTTGAGCCAGGGTCCAGGATTGAATAGAAGTCTTTTTTTTCCTAAAGGAGTAGAACTGTCTGGGAGGCATGATCTACCACTATATTATGAAAGGTATAAGGCAATTTATTTGGGAACTAATAATTGTATTCTTTATATGTAGAGCCAGGTGGTGTTATGGCATGAAGGCCTCTGTCCCATTGCAAGTGAGTGGGACGCAAGGCACACAGAGCTAATATATTGCCCAAACACAAAGCAACATCTCCTGTTCAGAAGTGGGGGTTTCAGATTCATCTGAGATGATCTTGAGTGTTCTTTGTGTACTTAGATCATGTCAGACTCGAAGTGGAGTTTACATGTAATCATTTTTTCAGTTCCAAAATAAAGACGGAAATCACTTCAGATAATTTTTTTCCTGTGTGTCTGTGTGTGTGTGTGTGTGTCTCTCTGTGTGTGTGTGTCTGTCTGTGTCTCTCTCTCTCTCTGTGTGTGTCTGTCTGTCTCTCTATTTCTCTCTCTCTATTCATGTTCAAGATTTAGACTGGCCCAAATTTGATGCCCAAGTTTGAGGCTCAAACCTGTCACTTATATGCTATGGAGCAGACCATCTCTCTTGACTTAAGTTTTCTTATATCTAAATGGGGGCAATTTGCTGTTTTCTACTTTTGCCACATCCCTAGACCAATGTAATATCTTGCTGTATTCTAAATATACATCCTCATTTTTGCAGACAAGTGCACCTTTCATCTCTCATCAAAGAAGCTTCTGCAACACATGGAGACTATTGCAGAGCTCCAGAATTGGTCAAATTCAGAGAATAGGTGTCTGTGAGACACTTAACCATAAGTAACACATCTTCAATGCAACCATTACATTTAGGATGAATGCATCTCTTAGCTCTCACCAGAGAAGTTTCCTTGTGCAGCAGACGGTGATTAACTCAGAGACCCACAATTAGGCACTTTGTAGAGAACAAGTGACTAGAGAGTGCT